CAACAAAGATAAGCAACCGAAATAACCATTACGTACAAGCAAGCCGAACAAAGGCAAAAACCTACCTTCTGGTAGATCTGACCCAAGGAAACGACCCAACTCCTCAATATCAGCACCTATACTACATGCAACAAAGATAAGCAACCGAAATAACCATTACGTATAAGCAAGCCGAACAAAGGCATAAACCTACCTTATGGTAGATCCGACCTAAGGAAACGACCCAACTCCTCAATATCAGCACTTATACTACAGACCTATACTACATACATCCTGAGGCTCCTCTTCAGAGACCAAGATTTGGCAATACAACAGTCTTATAATCATTTAAAATGAAAGGATCCCCACATTCAAAATATGAGCTATCTATTGGGTTATGGTAATTTCACCCTCAACTCGATAGCCTCGTCTCATTTTGCTGTTGAAAGCTCCTCATCTAAGGATTGAGGGTCAATAGCCAAACTTGATCAATCGATCCACAAAATCTAGCAAACCGAGCCAATTGTGTGTGAGTGTGTGTGTGTAAAAAGACTAAAAACACATTTTCATTCATGATAATAACACTAGAGAATTGACATCAACATAAATTTCAGTAAGTTAATTTCACAAATTCCATCAAGTGGCAATATTAAAAGCTATTCAAAGCAAAAATAGAAATTAAAAAGAAAAAAAAAAGGGTCTGTTCTTTTCTATCTATATTTCTAACGCCTAAGGTACAATTGTCCCATAAATGCCAACTCTCCATACATGCCACCTTCCCCCTGCATTAAAATTTGTATTTGAGTTCTTAAAAATTTAAAAGAAGACGGAGTGCAAGAGAATATCTAGCGACAGGCTTTGGAAGGAGAAATATTTGTGTACGTAAGACGTATGTAGCGTTGTATACGTCAGGTAGGTTACATACAGGGAAGGTATGAAGGGTTATATCTGTGTTTTACCCCCTATAACATCCCTATAACTTACCTGTAACTTAGAAATATGAGGGAAGGTATGAAGGGTTATATCTGTGTTTTACCCTCTATAACATCGCGTTATACCCCCTGTAATCTCCCTGTAACTTACCTGTAAGTTGGAAATATATGAAAACAAAAGCGTGGAACTTACTAGTTACAGGTAGTTGCAGGTAGGTTATTTAATTTTTATCTGTTGAAAATTTATTTAATTTTTTTTATTTATTAATTTGAACAAATATAACTGAATATTAATGGAGCTGAGCTGATTTATTTACATAATTAAGCATATTTAAGCGCAAGCCCTAATAGAAAGGAGTTGGAAAAAAAAAAGTGTCTTTAAAATACCTGATATTATTCACTGTAATTGGACAGTCCGAAAAATTTTCTTTGATCAGACAACGTTTCATGGACATTAAAGTGTCTTAATGATTTCGGAATTGAGTGATATTGGGCTCGTTGGATTTATTTTATCGACATGCTCGATTCAACTTTAAGCTCGTCAAATTTGACATTCATTTGACATCCCAAATATAATCGGAAAGCCTCCAAATTTTGTTTAATGACTTGATTTGACTTTGATTTGATCAATTTTAGTATCATTTGGTCCGCCTCATCGAGCCACTCAGTTGGACTATTAATTTCTTGAATTAGGAGCTCTGGATGACTCTTAATTGAAATTTGAATATTTTTTGCTCATGCAACGATATCCACGTCATCTTGAGATCAATGTTGAATATTAAAAATTTGTTGATGTCATACTAATAATACATTTTTTTAATGCAACTATTTATAATTATGTTATCAATGTTTTGTAAAATAGAAGAGATTATCTTGTAATTCAAGAAAAAATTAATCTGAATTTTTCATTATCTTGAATATTTTTTTCTACGAGTATAAGCAGCGCCCGAGTAGTCCCCTCTTGTTGCAAATTGATTTTTTTTTTTATGAGCTGGATTATTGGATTAAAAAATTTAATACTAATGATTAATATTAATCAGTATTAACTTTAATTAATAATCCTAAACAAATACTAATCATAATTCCAAACATTAGTGGAAGAAAATTTTCCGAGTTAAACTAAACAAAAAAAACTCTCCAAACCGTATGAACAACAACTAATGATCATCATATAAAAATTGATATATCATTTTCAATTACTAGAATGGGGGAGAGCGACAGCCAGAGAAGTCGGTGCAGCTTTATAAGCAACAACAAAAATTTTTAATGACCTTATTTTAAATAAATTCTAATATTGATAATTAATGTTGTATTAATCAGTATTTGTTGGGTAATGTAGAGACGCGGTCCATCATACTTTAATTAGCTTCCTAATTAAGAATCTCACCTACCGTTCGTCTACCTTCCCACCAAGTCCTCTAAGGGAACGTCGAGGCGCTCGACGGTGTATTTCCTCGCAATAGTAAAATAGTGTGCAGCTTCGTGGAAGTAGGCAAATTTGTCGAATCACGTAAATTTGTGTCACTCTGGTGTTTTTTCTATGTGCAATTTTTTCTCGTTCTATTTTTTGCTTTATTGTCATCATTTTTCACAATAGTATTAATATTAAACACAATATTAATACTGAAGAAATGCTAATCACAATACTAATCTTTCAAAAATGTGAACAACGGTCAACAGCCAATAATATATCATCACATAAAACAAAGTATATCATCCTCATATTATTAGCGAGAAGGAGAGAAACAAAGAGAGTTGAATTTTGCAAAATTTATGTTTCTTGATTTGCAAGCGAAGTCTCTTCAACGTGGAAGCGACTTCTGATTTAAATTTGTTGCTGCGGACAAGCAAATTATGGCCAGAAGCATTATGCATTATGAGATGGCTTACACGCTATCTCCTTTCCCATTAAACCTAACCTTCTATTTTCCCAACTCGCTGTCCTCTGCGAAAAATTATTGTATATATACATCACATGCAGAGATGCATGCGGTGTCTGATCCTGACCGTAAATCTACGGTCATGATGCAATCAAAATTTTCTTGAAAAAAAAAAATTTAAGTGAGGCCCACTGAAATACATCCTGACTGTATATCACCGTGATCTACGGTTAGGATCGGACACCGCATGCATCTCTGCATGCGGTGTATGTATGCAATAATTTTTCGTCCTCTGCAGGAGAAAAATTTGCGTACGTAAAGACGCACGCAACACTGTGTAGGTCAGATATGTTACAGGGAGGTTACAAAGGGTATAACGCGGATATACCCTCCCTGTAACCTGCCAGACATACACAACACTGCGTACGTCTTATTTACACGAATTTTTCTCCCTCTACAATAGTTTCGGCAATTTTATTAATCATATGATTATATTTACTTTTAGATGTTTTGAGCGTTTTTAAAAATAAATTACTTTATTTTTTAAAAAAAATAAAAAAACATATAAAAAAACATTAAAGAAACATTTTTTTTAATAGAGACAAAAGCAAAAAATTATCCCAAACAAGTTTCTAGAGTTTGCCATTTAAAATAAGGAAGATTTACATAAATACAAGTCAATTCCCATCTATTTACATATCCAACACCTAAACTTTAATTTGTGTATATATATCACCTTCCCTATGCATGAAAAGGTAAATTTCACATTTTTAAAAATAAAAACAATGATATTTTTTTATATATGTAAAAAGGTAAAGTTTAGGTTATATATATGTAAACTAGGGGTGTAAACGAGCCAAACACGAGCGAGCCATGCTCATCTCGTGTTCGGTTCGTTTATATTTCGAGCTCAAAAAGTGTGTTCGTGTTCGGCTCGTTTGCTTAACGAGCCGAATATGAGCTGTTCACGAACAAAGAGTCATTTTAACAACTCTAATCATGTAGTCATAAGACATAAGACAATAAAGGTTTGAGCAAAATTTAAAATTTATTATTTATATTAAAACATCATTTGAATCTAATTTAATAATTTTTATTCTATTTTCTTAATCAATATTTTAATTGATTATAAATCTTTATAGCCTTGTAGTCAATTAGATTTTTTTAAAAATATTACTTTATATATATATATAAACTTGATGAGTAGTATTTCGAGCCAAAACGAGCCGAACACGAACGAACAC